TAACATTTGCAATCAATTAGTGCAGTGGTTCTGATGATGAGTACTATCGTTTAAAAAAAAATCCTTTTTTTTTTATGTCCCTGCTTAAAATGCTACACACCATCGGCACTGCTGCATTGTCACTTAATTACTAGTTGACTTCAATTACTGCTTCTCAAGTTTATTTTTTAAGACCTTTTAGAAGCTTTTGTGCCCTTAGCAAAATTCGGTGATTCTCCAACGACCAGAGCCAATTCTTGACTACAATAACAACTAACTAAAACTATTTTTTTCTTTCCATAATACAAAGAAATAGCGACCGTGTCGGATTTAGTTAAATTCTCAACAGTTCATTTATTAACCAAAAAAAAATATATACTTTCTTGTACAATTTGATTTTTTTAAGACATATGTACATTTTACTATATATACAAAGGAAAAAAAAAATAATGACGCTTAAAAATCACAAGACAAAACCATACAAACTCAACTAATGGATGAGCGCATAGAAAGTTTCTTTTTTCCGCAGTCTTTACACAAACATGCTTACAATATGTAACTACTCCGAGAGGGGATTTTACAGTCATTACAACATGTAAAAAAAAAAAAATAATAAAATTAAAATAAAAATTAATACAAATAAAAAAAAACAAATGTTATGAGGAGGACAGTGCAGAGAGAATCATAGCAGCGTCGAGTTGGTTTTGTGACCTGAAAATAAAATATTAAATATATTAGTACAGAGAAAATTTGCTAGACGTGTTAATTCATTTTTTTTTTATTTTTTGTATATTGTTTTTACTTTTCTTTTTCTTTCTTAGTTCTTGAATACATTGTTCGGTTTATTAGTGATCGTTCAAACAAGGATTATTTTTGAACTTGAATAGCTATGTTTGTTTTTTTGTTTTTTTTTTTGCTCGCTTCAACTACCTCAATAATTAGCCTGCACTGACATGGTTTACAAGCCTCGTGAAAAGTCGTTTTCTTAAAAAAAAAAAAAAAAAAATCCAGTTTAAGCAGAGTAACTTCTGCCAATTCTAATAAGTGTTCTCAGCAGCTCTGGTATACAATTATGTGGTCATAATGACAGACATAAAATTAAATATAATTGGTGTGAAGCGCTCATGATTCATAGGCCCATTAAGAGCAATGATGGTTTGCTGTAAAAAAAGGAACCACAGAACAAACACAATTAAAAATAACTGAAAATACAGCATTTTTTTTTTTGTATTAATCTCCCCTATAGGTCTATAAGTAGTATCCCTAAAACATATAGATTTTTCTTACCTTCTTTGAACTGGTTGAAAAGCTGTGTTTAGAATTTTTTTTTCCACCTCCAGCGAGCTTGATCGGTCTGCAGGAGATGAAAAGAAATACATATGTAACAATTGCAACAAGGCATCATTTTACTGAAAGAAAAAAAAACAACGTTGGAAACTTTGTAACCACTGAAAAGTTGTGGACTGAATTCAACTATCCTAGGTCACAGTTTGCTTTTTTCTAAGGTTATCAACCGACAAAGGGCATTGCGGTCTATTAAAACCATGGAAGATACCTGTCTTTAATTATGAGACAAATGAGCAAACATTATCTTAGATACAGAAGTTCTATTACTAGTTTTAATACTATGTTCTTCAAGAGCTGTAATAAGAAAACTTCCCGACCCTTATTTAACTGATAAGTCTTGAATAATATTAATAATAATAATCTATATGAAAAATAAAAAGAGCCAATTATTTAACAAACGTATATTTAATGTTTATATATATATATAGATATATATATATATATATATATATATATATTGCACTTGATATAATTAATGAACACACTCCCTAATTTTGCACACACAAACATATCTATCTATCTATATATATATAAATATATATATAATATATATATCACACTACATGTATATTGCCCTTGATATAATGACCACCTTCCACAGTTTTGCACACACACACACACACATATATATATATATATATATATATATATATATATATACGTATATATATGTGTGTATATATATATATATATATATTATATATATATATCACGCATGTATATTACACTTGATATAATTAATGACCACACTCCCCTATTTTGCATGTAATATTATTAAGAACTCCACTCCCTAAATAAATGAGTGATGAAAAGCAAGATCATATGAATGTGAATGCACAAACAATAGGCATATGCATTAATTTCCATCTATAGATTGACGCCTATGTCTCAGCTTTCCTCTATACTTTACCATGGCCATCTACCAAAGCAGTCCAACTATTTATAATGCTGAGTACATCTAGTCCCTCAGTGATGCTCTGCTGTTGATTAGGATACAATGCACTCTAATCCGGGTTCCCTTCCAATCCCCAGCCAGGTTTAGCTAGGAATGACATGTTTTTGCTGGCTGGGTGTTGGAAGTGGAGCCAGGGTAGGGTGGCCATAGGTCCCTCCTAAGTGAAAGGCAAAGTCACCTGTTACTGGGTCTCTGCTGTGAGCATGTTCCCCATGCGTGTTGAAGCTGGCATTGCCTGCCGTGTGGGTGACCCCCAATCCTTGTAGAAAGTGAGCAGAGTTCAGTAAAGAAAACTGCTGGGCAGAAAATGTCCTTCCTGTCCAGCTCTGGAACCTGCTTCCTGGACAGGTGATGAGTCTGGGTTGCGGTAACACATTCTGGCTGTTTGCAGGAGCACTGCTCCCCTGGGGTGACTTGCGAGGGTTATCCGGAGCAGTGGCTGTTTCTGCCAGGGACCAAATTTTGGGCTTCTGGGCAGCTGGAAGGTTATTTTCCTGGGAGGGATTGGGGGAAATACTGTCCAATTTGAGCTGCTCGCACTGGGGCTGATGAGTTTTGACATCCTCAGATAGTTCACATTTGTCCTGAACCCTACTGTCCCCAACCACAGACTTGAGGAACCTTTCCTCGGAGACATTCAAGTCCTCAAAGCCATCTGAGCCCTCAGAGTCACTCCTAGCGTCTGTTTTAGAGTCAGAGTGAATGTCTGTGTCCTGATCATCCAAGTCTTCTTTACTTTCCACATCCTCAGTGTCGATATTTTCCAAATCGATCTCTTCTTCATCCTCACGCTTGTCCTCTTCATGATCACTTCCATAGGAGTTCCCCTCCTCGTCTGTCCTGCTCCTGGGGGCCCAGGTCATTTTATTCTCCTTTTTAAGCCTCCTCCTGGCATTGGCAAACCAGGTGGACACTTGTGTGAGCGTCATCTTGGTGATGATGGCCAACATAATCTTTTCTCCCTTGGTGGGATAGGGGTTCTTCCTATGCTCATTTAGCCAGGCCTTCAGAGTACTGGTGCTCTCTCTGGTGGCATTTTTGGGCCTTGAGGGGTCTCCAAACTGGTATTGTCCATAGGTGTAAAAAGCTGGGTGATGGTGAGAGAAAGCTGAATGTTGTACCCCTGGACTGTCCTTCATCTCATATTGGGATCCCTGGATTAAAAGAAATCCATTTTAATGTAGTCACACGACGACAGAATAGTTTTATACAATGTAATACACAAGAACCTAGTTATGGCTCATGGGATTAGACTGGTATTATTATTATTATTATTGTTCCTAATACCATTATTATTGTTGTAATTGTTGGTATTATCATTACTATTATTATTGCTACTGCTACGTTTATTGTTGTTATTATTACTATTATGATTACTGCTACTACTACAATTATTCTTTTTGTTACTATTATTATATTAGTATCAATATCATCATCCTAATAGTAAAGACTACTACTACTACTATTATTATTATTATTATCAGCATCATGTCATCATCATCCTAATAGCAAAGAAAATAATAATTATTATCAGCTTTAATATCATCATCCTAATACTAAAGACTACTACTGCTACTATTATTATTATCATTATTATTATCAGCATCATATCATCCTAATAGTAAAGAATATTATTATTATCATCATCAATATCATCATCCTAATAGTAAAGAATATTATTATTATTATCATCAATATCATCATCAATATCATCATCAAAGAATATCACCATCAATATCATCATCCTAATAGTAAAGAATATTATTATTATTATCACCATCAATATCATCATCCTAATAGTAAAGAATATTATTATTATTATCAGCATAAATATCATCATCCTAATAGTAAAGATTCTCAAACCTTCTTTCACTTCACCTTCTTGCCAGAAATATAGGAAATAAGTAAGATTCCATAACTTAGGCTTTTGTTTTTTTTTCCCCCTTTTTGATACCTTCATCTGTTTCCTTTCACACGTTTGGTATCTGATCTGTCAGCCAAGCACAGCTAATTTTACAATGAAAACAAACTTTTTGCTTAACCCCTGCGATCAGAACAAACAAGCTTTAAATGTTCCCTTCCCAGGGAATAAATCTCCTTTTCCCATCCAATTATCCTAGACTATAATTTCAATACAAATGCTATTTGTTTTCAGTCATTTTCTCTAAATGTGAATAATATAATTTATTAAAACCAACAAATACTGCTTTTTACGTTAATTAAGGTGGGAGTTGGGGGATCGATGTGTGGTTGTGAGCACTGCTTAGTGTGGAAAGTCGTGGAGAATCCCCCAGACACCTCTGCATAGGACGACAGGGGGATTTCTCGGCTGTGGAAGGAGTCGGGGGCTGCGGTGAGTGGAGCAGACAGCAATCCACACAAAGTACTGCGGGGAAGTTCGCTGTGAAGTCTGAAGTTTGTAAATGAAGAAGAAACAAAAAGAGAGTAAGAGGAGGAGGAGGATCGGGCATGCAGAGGAGATCGGAGGAGTCCTTACCAGCTGTGGGAAGATTGGGAGCTCCGTGGTGTAGGGGAGGAAGGCTCCATAAGCCTGAGCCGCAGCCGCCGCAGCATAGGGAGCGCCATACATAGAAGACAGCACATTAGAAAGAGTCCCAGCCGGAGAAAGTTCCGCTCCGCTCCTGCTCCCCCCCACACCTTGCCGCTCAGAGGGGTACAGAGGTCTGATGTACTGGTAGCCCAGCTGGGGGAAGGACAT